TATTAAGAAACTGGGAAATGAAGTAAATAGAGTACATGAAGATCAAAGCAGCCTTTTTTTAGACTTAAAATTGCTATATAAAATAATATTTGTAGTTATTAATGCGATTATTAATGTTGCAATTACTGATATCTATATTTATTGTTGCACTTTTTATCCACTTCTTATCATTATTATTTTTTTTTCTTGAGAATAAGATTAATATTGAGAAATGTGATCATCTTTAGTCTTAGACTTATTAATCCTATTATAAAAACAAAAAAGAAAAAAAGGATATTTTTTTTAATATTTCCTGTTACTAATATTTGTTAATGTTTGTTCAAATTACAGAGTATGCTTGCAAAAGTTGGCCAAAATACCTATGAATGGCAAACAGAAATGACGATTCAGGTTAGCAGTGTTGCTTTCTGTTTTCCTTCCCTGTTTTTTTTTCTTCTATTTTGTTTATTTTTATCTATTTGCTTTTACATTTACAGCTAAAAAAAAAAAAAAATTGTAACAAGTTAACTGTATATTTATGTATTAAATGCTTTCTTTCATTACTTCTCCCACCATCATCAACATCGTCATTTCTTATACGCTGCTGTGCTAGCCATCTTTTTATTCATTTATCTTAGCTTTTGTTAATCATCAATACATTTATCATACTGTTTTCTTTTTACTATAATACTTGAAAATGCCAAAAAAAAAAAGAAAATAAAGATGCAAACAAAACAGTGATAACTAAGGTGTTATCATTGAAAAAAAAAAAAAGAAATTGTCGTTTTACAGCAACGTATGGTAATGAAACGTCGTCAACGAACAAATTGGATGTTAATCAGTATGGTTGTAGTATTTTCGGCAAGTTGGATAGGTAATATATTATTTCAAGCGCTCAAAGATTATGAATTGCTGCCAACTTTTGTACAACAACAAGAATTTTTATTCGCCATAGCTGTACACTGTATTGCAATGACATCAACGGTAAGTGAATGACACCGTACTATTGCCCTCTGATATCGTTTTATTACAATTATTACTATTATTATGTGGTAAAAAATAAAACAAAATAAAACAGCTGAAAAAGAACTGCTTTTTTTTTTGCTTTTGTTTCTTATTGAATATTCATTTTGAAAGACAGACACATTACTTGAGAAATGGCAGCAGACTTGGGGGGATAAGAAAGGAAAGCAAGGGTTATGAAGATCAAAAAAGTAAGAACAAAGAACAAGATCAACAAAAGCAGTTCAACTCTTTAATTGGCATTAGAGACTGCCAGTTTTATTGTAGCAACAAATTTCTTCTGAACTTTAAATGTACAAATTGTGAAAGTTAACAAAAAAAGAAAAAAAAATGTCTATGGCAGTGGAAACCAAGCCTTCTAAACAAGCACAAGTGGATGTCTCATAAAATCCTGACCAGTAGCAGTCCATCAATTTTAATTTGTTAGTCAATATAGCGAACAAGACGAACAAAAAAAACATGAAACAAATTTAGTCTATCTGTTAACGAAATAAATACAAATTGAATCATTTGGTTCTCCGCTTCTTTCCACTTCCCTCCGCTCCGCCTTTCTTAATTTCTTTATTTTTTTGATTTTTATTTATTTATTTTTTTTTTTTTACAGATATGGAATCCGCTACTGTATGCTGTATTAAATTTAAAATTTCGTGATGCATTTCTGGAATTAATACCACGACGATTTTTACGCAATGACAGTAACTTGGAAGCCGCTAAACCGTTAACAACATTGGTGGACGACAGTATGGTATATCAGAGGAAGAAAAAGCGGAAAAAGCAGTTGCTGAAACCGGCGAAAAGTGGCGAATTCGGTAACGGCGTATGCGCCTATGAGGTAATTCGGGTTTCAACAAATAAACAAGTTCGACGACTTTTTGATGCTTGTACCAAGCCAACCAAAGATTCTATCAGTTCTAGTTAAATTATCCCTTTCTTTCTGGCCTTCTTTTTCTCCATTTCTCTCCCCCTTTTCTCCCTTTCCCGGAAAAACAAAAAAATACCTAATAGTGTTTTAATTGCCTTACCCTAATGAGGATACCAATGACAGCAAGAACAAAAAAAAAAAAAAAAAAAA